AAATAATAAATTTTTTTTCATGCTATGGACATATGTTAATTCTGAAAAAGTCCAACTCTCATGCTGAACCTAACACCAACAATTATCTACTGCACACAGGTATTTCAAGAAATTATTGTTTTGTATTTAACTTCAGCATGCATACACACACACATACAAAGAAGAAAAGAAAGACTTCTCAGCCATGAATATTTCAGCAATAAAATATTCCTGACTATGACAATTTGCCTGAATCCTCCAACTATGTTATTTAGGAAGAGAGAAGAGAGTTTCCATTTTGTAGTCATTTTGAGTACTTTTTAATAAATCATCCAATGATTCATCAGCCTGAACTGAAAGAATTCTCTGCTGCTTTGTCATTTATAGGGTTGCCCTTATCAAAGACACACAGCTTCAAGTGGAAATAGAGTGTTCATTTAAGGAACAAATATTTATTAAGTACCTATTATGTGCCAAGAAACTTATTAACTTCTGGGAATATAGCAGTGAACAAGACAGAAAGGAAAAAAAAAAAAAAGTCCCTGCTTGTAATGGTTATGTTTGTATGTCAACTTGGCTAGGCCTGGTTGAGTGGCTGGGCAGCGGGATGTAGTATTCCCATGATGAGACTGGTAATCAACTCCATGGTGGAATCTACTGGGAGCAGCTTAGTAGCTGCCTTTGGGTATGTGGTCTACTTCCTGTATATAAGGAGAAGCTTTGAGAATGGTCTCGAGCCTATGGCATGCTTGAACCCTGCATGTAGCCGTGTCATTGCTTGTTGTTGTGTTGTTGTTATGTGCCGTCGAGTCGGCCCTGACTCATAGCGACCCCTCCTTGGGTTTCCGAGGCAGTATCACTACCGAAGTAGGATTGCCCAACCTTACTTGTGTCATTGCTTAGCAGCCTGCTATACTCCAACGACCTTGGGACTTACAATGGACTTAAGTCAATGGCCTGCTGTGTGGTAACATCAGAACTACCTTTTTACTTGTCAGCCTTGGGGTTTCTCAGCCTCAGTAGCCAGCAGCTGTCTAAGTGAAGAAAAGCCTCTAGCTCCAGTGGGCCGGGAACAGGAGGCAGAGCTGGTCCCCAAGGTTGAGGGGCTTTTACTCAGCCCCTAGAGCCTGGCACTTTGAACTTGGACTCCAAATTTTAAGAATAAACTCCTGTTTGTTAAGGCCATCCCATTTGTGGTGTATTTCTTATCAGAGCAGCACTAGGTAACCAGAACACTGCATTTATAGCATTTACAGTCTAATTTAGGAGGATACTGAACTCTGCTTCTATTCTCACAAAAGTCAATTATTATTTCCTTAAATGGTGACAATACAGAATCTTCCAAATGCATTGTGACAAGTAGGAAAGAAAAAGTCTTTCATTGTATATATAGCTCAGCATGCTTATCTTACTGCTCCTGGTAGAATTAAAATGGCAATGAGATCCACAGAAGGACAGAAAGGAAAATAAAAAGTTCCTTGCACATGGAAAAACAAGGATGCCAAATAGGTGGCAGATCTAATTTTAAATTGAGACACTAGGAAAATTCTTCAAAATTCTAGCAACACTCACACAATGGAATAATGCTATGGAGAGTAAGATCAGGGTGTAGCATGGCTCATTATTTTATAGGTTTGACTAATCTACTAAGTATCATGACCCCTACCCATGCATTGTTATTGTTGTTGTTATGTACCATCGAGTCAGACCCTACTCATAGAGACCCCTCCTTGAGTTTCTGAGGCAGTATTACTACAGAAATAGATTCTCCTTCTGAGGAGTGACTGGTGGGTTTGAACCGCCAGCCTTCTGGTTAGCAGTCAAATACCTTAGGCACTATGCTACAATGCAATGACATAAGAAAAACTTGCATTAAACAGAAGGTATGTGATAGTGAGATATATGATATGCCTGTTTTGTCACAGTAAGTTGCCTAAAAAAGATTTTTCTCAGTCACATTCAACATTAAACTATTTTAAGATTTTTCCTTTAATAAACTAAGGTTTGTCCATTCTATACAATGTCGATATTGCAGAATACCATGCAACAATCACAAACAGAGAAATAGATCTATATATTCATATGGAAAGAGTTCCAGTACATACTGTTAGGAGAAAAAAAGAGAAGTAAAATAATATATACAGCATGACACTATGTTTACTTTTTAACTTCACAAAATAATATTTCATTCCTCATTGAAAAAAAAAGTAGGTCTAGAAAGACAAAAACAGAGAAGAATGATTACACCTTTGAGAGGTAATAATGGACCAAGATGGAGATTTCATATTATGTAGCATGCTGTCATTTTCTAAAGGGAAATTATATTCATATATTAACTATTTCATTGAAAACTAACTAAAAAAATAAAATTGAGTTTATTTTGCTGGAGAAATGAGCTGAATAATCAACATCTTTCTCACTGTGATCTCTTGAATATATACAATAAAACTGAATGGTAAATTACATTAAAGCTAACTCAAATTCCTTCATTTACATTTTTCTTTCAAAAGTGTGTTCATTATTTTCAATTTTAAAAAATGAGAATTTAAAGTACACATTCAAGTGAAAACCCATGGTTTTGATTATCTTCTCTATAATATTACAAATCATGGAAAATTCCAACCCTTTGGAATTTGTTCTAAAGATATGCTTTCAAAAAAAAAGTAATGTACATACAAAGACAGTTGTTTTAGAATTATTCTATTATTTTCATAGTAAAATGGGGGGAACTGGTTAAATAAATAAAGAGGAATACTTTGCAGCATGACTAGGTACTGATATGCAATGTTGATATGGGAAAAAAAAAGTAAATGAATATAATACAAAGGAAGTCTTGCTAAACAGAAAATTTGGCATTAAATCTAGCATTAAATGACCTTCTGCCATTATGTCAACAAAAAGATACAGAATTATTAAAGATAAAGTTCAGTATCTCTTTAGCCCAAAAGGTCAACAGCTTTGCACACAGGTATAGCAGTAGGCCTAAGAATAAGACAGACAAGTAATAAAAGAAATACAAGTAAGGGGGAAGGAAATGGATCAAAACTAAAAGTAAAGAGATAAAGCAGTATAGAACAGAAGGGGCATCCGTGCCTACTGATCTGTTGTTGTTGTTGTTGTTATGTGCCGTCGAGTCAGCCCTGACTCATAGCGACCCCTCCTTGGGTTTCCGAGGCAGTATCACTACGGAAGTAGGATTGCCCAACCTTCATAAAATCACTGTTCTAGGTAGGAATCACATAATCACTCTAGCACAAAAGAAGCTGGCTATCTGTATTTACGAAACAATTTACCAAATATTTCCATATACATTATGGAATACAATCTTCCTAACACAATAGTGAGTATTAACCTCATTTTATGGAAGGTGAAGTTCTGAGAGGGTAAAGCAACTGCCAAAATCACACAGCTAGTAAGTGACAGGGTTGAGGTCTCTGAACTTCAAGCCCAATGTTCTTTCCAATGTGCCACTGCTGCTATATAGAGTGTCACTCAAATTGTTAGTAAGTTTCAAATAACCATGAAAATTCCAAGAAATAGATGAATTATCAATTTAAACACAGTAAACTACTTTTCCTTCCTATAGGAAATCTAACTCTTAAAAAAGAAAAGATTTAATTTGTCCTTTCAAAATCAACAGAAAATGTATGGGGGAGGGAACAGTAGGAAGGAAACATGCACAGTAATAAAAAGGCAACATGAGAAAGACTTGCAGTGTTGCAACTGTTCAAAACATTGACTGTGCCTGCGGTGTACATGAACCTAGTCATGTGATACAATTGTACTGAACGTAATACACAAACACACACAAGTACAAGTAAAACTAGACATGTGAATAACATCTATGAATTGTACCCTGTCAATCTCCTGCTTGTTATAGTGTTTAGTTTTGTAAAATGTTACCTTCTTAGGCAAAATAGGTAAAGGATACACTATTACTAATTTCAAATGTATGTGAATATACAATTATCTCAATAACTAATTACATTTTAAAAATCAATGGAATATTCATACCACCAACACTTATCTTAAAACAGGATAGTGGTATTATGTAAACATAACTGCAAAAAACCAAACTCACTGCCTTGGAGTAGGATCTGACATATAGCAACCCTTCCTCGGGTTTCTGAGGTGGTATTGCTACAGAAGTAGATTGCCCAATCTTCCTTCTGAGGAGTAGCTGGTTGGTTTGAACCACCAGCTTTCTGGTTAGCAGTCAAATGCATTCGGCACTAATCCACCAGGGTTCCCAGGTACACAAAGGGGAACACATAATATAGTCACATTCTAAGCAGATTTCATTCCAGTGAGAACTTTTCCATGAAAGTAGAAATTTTATATTATAATTTCAAGCCAGAGATCAGAATTTTGAGTATCTTTGGATATAATGTATTAAAAGTGAAAGCCAGATCTTACTAGCCATGCAAATCATAAGACCTAAGTGGAAGGAAAGTCAGGAAGAGAGAAAACAAGAAATGTTTTTGTACTGGGACAAAGGGTTGCTTAAGAATTCCATCACAAAATATCAACTGATCTAACACTAACGTGTAAGCTAGTTGTTCAATAAGATGATCAGAGAATTATGGTGATAATTATGAGATGCACCAAGAATTATATAATAATAATAATAATCACAATACCCAAAATCAAATCCACGGCTGTTGATTCAATTGCGACTCATAGCGACCCTATCATAATAGTTACTATTTATCAAGCCCTTGCTATATGCCTAGCACATAGTGCTAGTTGCCTCACATACATAACCAAAAATCTTCATAACCCTGGAACGTAAAATGCAGAAAATGATGGATCTCATGAAATTTTCCCAAGCTTCCTTAGTTGGAAAGTAGCAGAGCTTGACTTTGAACCTAGATTTTTCTAACCCTAAAGCTTGTGTACTGTTCACAGTTCTATACTACACAGGAAAGAAATACCTTACCTTGATATTTTGATACTTGATCTAAGTGAGAAAAAAAAGATTATATCCAGTAGTGGGAAAATATCATTGAAATTATGCTGACCTGCTTGTAAGTTCCATCTAGCAAGGTGTCCAAGTGTTGGAGTGGGGCAGGTGTTTTATCTTTGAACCTTGTCAACAGTCGTCTTTGAATGGCCCGGAACTGTACAGCTCTTTCAGATAACAGTTCTTCTAATTTTTCACCATTTATCCTCAGCTACAAAGAAGATTTCATAAATTCAGTGCATAACAAAACATGTTTAAAGATATGGCAATGACAATAAAAGTTTTAAAAAGTGCAATGAAGAGATATAAGCTATTATTTAAATTAAAATTGTATAATTAAAACAGTATGGCATTGGTACACAGATACATGGATAGTGTAGTGGAGTAGACTGAATGATAGATAACACAGTGAAAATTACAGTATCACTGAGGAAAAGCTAGATTCTTTGATAAGTGTTTTTATGATAACTGATTAAGTATTGGAGAGGAAAAAAGAATAGGAATTTCTCCCCTATTCTTTGCTGCAAAAATCAATCACAGAGGGATCAAAAGTTTAGACACACTAAAAGCACTAGAAAAAAATGCAACTATTTTTATAATCTTGGTATAGGAAAGGCCTTCATAAGTATAAGTGAGAAGCCAAAAGCCTTTCCCACCACACATACATACAAAGCTAACACATTGCTGACTTTAAAAAAAGGTTTAATTCTACATGGTTATGAAAAAAAAAAAAATTATAAGAAAAGTAATAGACAAAAACAGCAAGCTGAAAAAAAAAGGCAAAATATACAGCCAAGACAAAAGGCTATACCCATCTCAAACAGAAAGTATTACAGAAACACATCACAAAATTATTTATTAAATGTCTTTTTCCTCAATTTGTGATTTTTTTTTTGTAGTTCAAGTATTTTTAAAAATTCTTCTCATGATTTATTTTCTCATTCTGAATAAATATTCACTTTTGTACCTTAAAAAAAAAAAAAAAAAAAAAGGCTATATCTATACTGTCTATGAGGCATCTACAAATCACGGAGAAAAGGATCACAACCAATATAAATAAGCAAGGAAAAGAGAAACAATCCAAGAGAAAAATGGGCAAAATTTACAGAAGAGTTAATATAAATAGCTCTTTGATGTAGCAACACTGTATACAGGAATCTATCCTGAAGACATGCTTGCAAAAAAATAATATACATACAAGGATAGTCATTATAGAATTGTTTCTTCTATTACTATAGTTAAATATTAACAATCAATATACCAATCAATAAGGGAATTGGTTAAATAAGGAGGAATTCTTTTCAGGGTTACTAGGTACTGATAAGGAGTTCTGGTAACATAGTTCCTAAGGCACTTGACTGCTAACCAGAAGGCTGGCGGTTCAATCCCACCAGCCACTCCTTGGAAGGAAGATGGGGCAATCTACATCCATAATGATACTACCTCAGAAACCCAAGGACCCCTGCTATGAGTCGGGGCCGACTCGACGGCACATAACAACAACAAGAACAACAGGTACTGATATGCAATGCTATCCAAAGATACATTAAATAAAGCAAAGCCAAAAAGTAAAACATAGTATTTATAATATGCTATTATCTGTATATTTTTTAAAAAAGAAAAAAATTCTTGAGATTAACATATTTCTGGCTACATAGGATATTTCTAGAAAGATACAAAACCAACTGGACACAAAAGGCTATCTTCAAAGAGGAGAATGTGTGGCTTGTCAGAGATGACACTCTTCTCAGCCTAGCACCTTTCATAACATATAAATTTCATATTAAAATTTAAAATAGCTACTCAAAGTTCAGGATAGAAGGAACACTCCATAAAATCAGATCACCTGGGACTTCTAATTCATCTTACCAAAATAATAAGCTAAGCTATTGTATAAAGACGTTCAAAATATTCAGAAACCAAACATAGCTTACATTTTTGGTAACAAACTGAATTTCCTTATCTTTTAGTGCATTTATTTTCCAGATACATGAAAAAAACAATGTATGTAAGAGATAAATGCAAAATGAGATTTAATTAAACTCTTTTAATCCCAATTTTAGAAGCACTAAGTAGCTCTGGTGGTATAGTGGTTAAGGCATTTCATTGCTAACCAAAAGGCGGTGGTTCAAACCCACCAGCCACTCCGTGGAAGGAACACTAGGCAATGTACTTCTGTAGTGATACTGCCTTGGAAACCCAAGTAGGGGTCGCTATGAGTCAGGTCCAATTCCATGGGAAACAACAACAACAACAGCTACTCCGTGGAATAGAGATGAGGCAGTCTGCTTCCATACAGTTTTACAACCTTTGAAACCCAACAGGGGAGACAGAGCAAGACAGGATCATACCTGTAGCCCACACATTTGTTCCCTCTAGCATCTTAATTCCTGAAAAACTAAGTGTAGCAGTTTGAAGCAGGGATTCTGGAGCTTTGAACAGCTGAGTAACTTAGAGAGTACCAGATTTAGTGGAGACAGAGAAAAGGCAGCGTGAACAGCTGGGAAAAAAAAAACAAACCTGCTAACTGCAGGGGAGACAGAGAGAGGCAGAGAAGCAGAAAACTCTTTAGCAGTATGGGGGAGAGCCACAGAGAAAAAAAAGTTGGGGGAGGCACCACAGAACCCATGGAGGCTTCAGGGACTCAGATAACCCACACAGGAGCTTCTGACCCTATCATTGGGAACAGAGTTGAGTAAATGAAACCCAGTGGGGGTCGCTATGAGTCAGAATCAACTCAATGGCAATGAGTTTTTCTTTTGTTTGAAGTAGCTAACTAAATCAAAGAGTATTCTCTTGATTAAAAAAGCAAAAATTTTTCACAACTAAAAGTTGTTGTGATAAGATAATCTTTTTTAAAATAACTAAATTTCAGAAAGAGTATTAACTTAATAACCAATAATTCACTCTTCTGATGGTATAATTTACTGCTATAATTTATTTCTGAATTCTTGGACTACAAAAAAATAATGACAGAAAAAACATTCTCAAAACAGAGACGTCAGTCAGGTAACAACCCCTTTGGATGTGTAACTAAATAGCAGTGATTTGAATGGTTTTACTTCTCAGAGTCAACATTCACTCCATACTTAGTGAATATACCCCAGAGTAAGCATTGTTCTAAACACCGGGAATTACAGCAGTGAATATAATATACAACACTCCCTGCCTTCATGAGCTTACACTGAGGGATGCTTGGATTCCAAAATACATCTTGACTCAAAATTTAAAGTCGTATTTTAATTTTAATAGGTGAAAGCAGAAGGTGGGGCTAGCATACAACGGAAGTACAATTCCATCTCTCTTAAATTTGTATGTATAACAAACGCAAGGGCCTGCAGTTCACCATATTCTCTTAAGTCTCTCCTGATGTGGAAGCTCCAGGAAGTTACTGGCTAGAACATAAGGAGTGCTGCAAAAATTATAAGAAAATTCAAAGGGAAAATTGTATGTCAAAGTCAATTGTTGTGTTGTGGTTAGGTGTCATCAAGTCATCTCTGACTCATAGTGACCCAATGTACAGCAGAACAAAACATTGCTCAGTCCTGTGCCAGCCTCACGATCTTTGCTATACCTGAGCCCATCACTGCAGCCACAGTGCCAATGCATCTTGTTAAAGGCCTTCCCCTTTTCCGTTGACCCTTCAGTTTCCCAAGCATGATATCCTTCCCCAGAGAATGGTCCCTTCTGACAACATAACCAAAGTAAGTGATATGAAGTCTGGCTCCTTCCAAGGAGCACTTCTTCCAGAACAGATTTCTTAGTTCTTTCAGCAGTCCATGGCACTCTCAGTATTCTTCAACAACACCAAAACTCAAAAGCATCAACTCTTCTTTGGTCTTTTGTGTCCATTGTCCAGCTCTCACATGCATATGAGGCAACTGAAAATACAATGGCTTGGATTAGGCACCCTTTAGTCTTCAAGGAGACATCTTTGCTCTTCAGCACTTCCAAGAGGTCTTTTGCAGCAGATTTGCCCAATATAATACATCATCTGATATCTTGACTGCTGCTTCTATTGGTGTTGATTGTAGAACCAAGTAATATGAAGTCTTTGATAACTTCAATTTTTTCTCCATTTATTGTGATGCTGATTATTGGTCCAGTTGTGAGGATTTTTGTTTTCTTTATATTGAGATGTCATTCATACAGCAGATTGTAGTCTTTAATCTTTATCAGTAAGTGCCCCAAGTCATCCTCACATTCAGCAAGCAAAGTTGTGTCATCTGCGAATCTCAGGTTGTTAGTGAGCCTTCCTCCAATCCTGATGCCAATTCTGAGCTTGGGTCCTGAATCCAGGCTGCACCTCTGGAAGTTCTCTGTCAATATACTGCTAAAACCATTTTTGAATTATCTTTGGTAAGATTTTATTTGCATGCAACATTAATGATATTGTTCAATAATTTCCACATTCTGTAGGATCACCTCTCTTCAGAATGGGCACAAACATGGATCTCTTCCCATCAGTTGTCCAGGTAGCTGTCTTCCAAATCTCTTGGCATAACCTAGTGAGTACCTCCAGTGGGGCATCCATTTGTTGAAATATCTCAATGGGTATTCTGTCAATTCCTGGAGCTTTGTTCTTCGCCAATTCCTTCAGTGCAGCTTTGATTTCTTCCTTCAATACCATTGGTTCTTGATCATATGCCACCTCCTGAAATGGATGAACATCAACCAATTCTTTTTGGTACAGTGACTCTGTGTATTCCTTCCATCTTCTTTTGATGTTCAAATATACTGCTGCCCACAGAATCTTTCAATATCACAACTCAAGGCTTAAATTTCCTCTTTTGGTTTTCTAACTCCAGGTCTTGGCACATTTCATTATAATAACTGACTTTGTCTTCTCAAGCTGCTCTTTGAAATCCTTTATTCAGCTCTTTTATCTTGTCATTTCTTCCATTTGTTTTAGCTACTCTCTGCTCAAGGGCAAGTTTCAGAGTCTCTCCTGACATCCATTTTGGTCTTTTCTTTCCTGTCTTTTTAATGACCTTTTGCTTTCTTCACAGACGATGTTCTTGATGTCATCCCACAATTCCTCTAGTTTTTAGTCACTGGTGTTCAATTCATCAAATCTATTCTTTAAATGGTCTCTAAATTCAGGAGGGATATAATCAAGGTCATGTTTTGGTTCTTATGTACTTCTTTTAATTGTCTTCAACTTCAACTTGAACTTGAATATGAACAGTTGATGGCCTGTTTCACAGTCAGCTCCTGGCCTTGTTTGGCTGAAAATATTGAGCTTCTCCATTGCCTCTTGCCACAGATCTAGTCCATCTGATTCCTGTGTACTCCATCTGGTGAAGTCCATGTGTATAGCCACCATTTGTGTTGCTGAAAAAGGTATTTGCAATGAATAAGTCATTGGTCTTGCAAAATTCTATCATATGATATCCAGCGTTATTTCTATCAGAAGGCCACATATTCCACCTACCTGTGATTCTTCCTTGTTTCCAACTTTTGCATTCCAATCACCAGTGATAATTAACACATCTTGATTGCATGCTCAGTTAATTTCAGACTGCAGAAGTTTGTAAAAATCTTCAGTTTCCTCATCTTTGGTTTTGGTGGTTGGTGCATAAATTTGAATAATAGTAGTATTAACTGGTCTTTCCTGTAGGATATTCTATCACTGACAGCATTGTACTGCCATTCTTCTTCAATTTGTCATTCCTGGCATAGTAGGTTATATGATTGTCTGATTTAAAATGGCCAAAATCAGTCCATTTTAGCTCACAGATGCCTAGGATATGTATCTTCATGCATTTCATTTCATTTTTGACAACTTCCAATTTTTGTAAATTCATACTTCACACATTCCATGTTCTGATTATTAATGGATGTTTGCAGCTATTTCTTCTCATCTTGAGTCATGTCACATTAGCAAATGGAGGTCCTGAAAGCTTTACTCTATCCACATCATTAAGATTGGCTCTACTCTGAGGAGGCAGCTCTTTCCCAGTCATATTTTGAATGCCTTCCCATGTGAGGGGCTCATCTTCTGGCACTATATCAGACGATGTTTCAGAGCTATTCATAAAGTTTTCTAGTAATATATCAGACAGTGTTTCACTGCTATTCATAAGGTTTTCACTTGCCAATTCCTTGAGAAGTGGATGGCCTCTTCCTTCTCCTGAGTCTGTCTTAGCAACCACCATAGTATGACAAACTGACAGACAAGTTCATCTCCCTTAGTTGTTCCAAACCACTCTGCTCACTCCTGGCCTCCCTCAGGCCACTCGAAACCAGCTGCACCACCTCACTTCCTTCCCAGTCCCCCTCAGGCTGCTGTCAAAGTCAATTAGAATCCATTATTCTCCATTTTAAATAACACAAATATGTAATTAGCAAGGTCTTTCTGTAGACTCTCTTTCATAAGCCACTAGAACATAGTTCTGCACAAAGAAGGAAGAATTTCCTAATATATATCCAAGAAGACAACAAAGCTTCTAAGTCCTTAAAAGATTGAAATATATTTGCCCAAATTGTCAGTTTTGGTGCCACAATTGAGTCAAACCCATAACACTCCTACATAATATTTTTAGTTTAGATGAGGGAAAATCCAAATAACTTCAATATACGTGATAATGGTAGGATTATTCTTAATTGGTTGTATCACAGGAAATTTTCCCCTTTATTAACACTGCATCAGAAAAATAAGTCTTAATAGGAGAAAGTCTACCTAATGTTATTAGAATGTTCAAGGGGTGATAGGCAAGTAATGTAAGTGATATCCTCTCTTTCTCTTACGCTCTCACATATATACACAAACAAACATACATAATCATAGCTTAGAAACTGACATGCCTATTGATTCCTTTAAAAGTAGTCACTTTAGGGAACCAATGCTTACTTGAATGATGTTCAAATTCTTTTGAAATTCCTCTTTTGTAATTGCCTATAGAGTTTGTTTATAAGACAAACAAGTAAGTGAGCCTGATGAGTTTATTTTAACATATTAGGACTTTTTAAACAATGACTGTCATTGTCTAATCTATTCACAAAATTGACTCTTGGTTATATTTCCAAAGATCAAATCAATCCTCGAAGGATGAAGATTAGACACCAGAGAGGTACTCAAGAGACTCTCACACAGCCTCTGAAGGAACTTCCAAAGAGGAAATGCAGAAATATCCAGAGCTACAAAGCCACTGTCAGATCTCATTTATTTAGACATTTAATCACTCAGCATTTACTAAGTACCCATTGTGCCAGGTACTGAGGAATATTTTAAGTGGTTAACCTTCATTCGGTTGTAGAAGTTCTGGTATGATTGTTAAAAAAAAAGAAAAATCACTTTACTTTATAATCACACCTCATTTATGGCCTGCTAGAATTAGTCAGCCAAATGGCTGCTGATAAGCTCAAATAGTTTTAACACTGGGTTATTGGGGTCAAGGGTTAAGTCCCCATGCAGGAGAATTAAATCGGCTGTTACAAGGCCAGACCACATGCTTAGCTCCAGGCAGCCACTTTATAAATGTCTGCAACTGATCACAAACTGGGCAAGAGAACAGGAATTGATGCACACAATCCACTATCCACATAAGAATAGCAAAGCACAAGCATGCTACTTTAGAATTCTTCTGGTGGGTCCATATAGCTTCTCCTTCATGTACTGAAAGATAACAGATGATATGGGTTAGGATCATACATACTTCATAATGATGATCAATTAATTCAAAATATTCTTGAAGGGGCATTGATCCAGAAAAAGAACACGAGAAGTCTTTGATTCCCTGTTTTTCAAAATATTCTTGAAGGCGGAAAATGAGCTCATTTGTTATGAGCCAAAGATCTTCAAATTGTTCACTCTGAATGCGATATCGTTCTAAAAGAGAAAAAATAATTTAGGATGTTTATTAACACATAATTACTACCTGAGACTACATGAACTATCATTAACCTTGACATGAATACCAAACTAAAAGGACAAAAGCTTCAAAGATTTCTCTTTTTTTTTTTTTTCTTTCCCAATACAGATATGATTTCTACTGGCTTTATAAAACATACTTCCACTTCTTTTTTTTTTTTTTGGCTGTTTTATGCATCAATCACTTAACATTTCAAATCAAATTTCAAAGGTATGTGGTCACAGTAGCACAATGTACTGGCATGTTCCTTTTATACCTGTGTATCTTATAATAGGTTTCAGTATAATAAAAATACCCAAATTTGGATCCTTAAAAAAAAAAGATTTACTTAAAAGGAAAGAAAACAGTCTCTGCAAAAGTACAATCTGGTATCAATTTATTTCAGAATATTGATGTGAAAGAAAATTTATTCTATAGAAAGTCTCATATCATGGGCACTGTAGCCAGTGTAAATTCTCTTAAATACTGCTTTAATCATGATCAAGATTTTCTAATGGTTCTTTTATTTAAAGAATTATTTTGTAGCCAAACCCTTTCCTAAATATAAATCTTGTTTCTTTCTCATCCTAAATCTGAAACATCAGCTCCAGGAAAGCCAGATTCCTAATCACCCCCTACGATGATGATGATGATGATGATGACGGTGGTGGTGGTGGTGGTGGTGGTGGTGGTGGTAATGATGATGATGGTGATGACAACAATGATGGCAGCAGCAATAGCAAAATCTATGATAAAAGCAGCTACCATTTATTGAGTACCAGCTACGTACTAAGCACTGACTGCAACCATCTCTTTTTCATAAATGAGGAAAATAAGACACAGAGAATTTCAGTGACTTGTCAAAAGTCAAAAAGAATATTAATGCCAGAACTAAGAATTCAATTCATGATGTATGCCCTTCTTCCTCACCTGCCTAAATTCACCCATTCTTCAAGATCTGGCTTCAGTGTCTCCTATCACAAAACCCACTGCCATTGAGTTGATACTAACTCATAGCAGCCCTTTTAAGACAGAGCAGAACTGTCCCCTAGGTTTCCAAGAGTATAAATCTTTACAGAAGCAGGCAGCCTCATCTTTCTTCCACAGAGTAGTTAGTGGGTTCAAACTGCTGACCTTTTGGTTAGCAGCCGAATTCTTTAACCACTATACCACCAGATTTCCTTTTATTTTTCTACCACCTATAGAAGCCTAATATGTGTCAGGCACTGTCTTGAGCACTTTACATATTCTCTCATTTAAACTTCAACAGCCCTACAGGGAAAAAATTATTAGCCCCAATTTACAGAAAAGGGAAATGTATTTATAGAAAGTTTTAGGTGATTTGTAAGACCATCTAGCCAGGCAGTAACAGATAAGGGATTGGAACTCTAGCTATTAACTGAAAGACTAGCTACTTCTCTTAAGTACCTCACAATATTGCACCACTCTGAATATTTTTAGAGACTTAGGATGTTCACAGTTCACTAAGCACTGAACCATACAAAACCATGTATTATTATTTAATTTGCTGGATGAATATATTTAATCCTTTCAAAGGAATCATACACTTTGTGAGACCTAGGTGGTGGTGGTGGTGGTGTTGTTATGTGCCGTCAAATCAAACCTGACTCATAGAAACCCCTCCTTGGGTTTCCGAGGCAGTATCACTAAGGAAGTAGATTGCCCAACCTTCCTTCCGAGTGGAGTGGCCTTAGGCACTATGCTACCAGAGTTCTATGATCTCAGTTTTATTCAATTCACCATATTTTTGGATCAACTATTATGTGTTATGGGAGCTCTGGCCACATGGTGCCTAAGTTATTTGACTGCTAACCAGAAGCCTGGTGATTCAAACCCACCAGCTACTTCTCGGGAGGAAGGTTGGGCAATCTACTTCCATAAAGATGTTGTTGTTGATGTGCCATCGAGTCGGCCCTGACTCATAGTGACCCCTCCTTGGGTTTCCGAGGCAGTATCACTAAGGAAGTAGATTGCCCCATCTTCCTTCCGAGGACTGGCTGGTGAGTTTGAATCACCAGCCTTCTGGTTAGCAGTCAAGTACCTTAGGCACTAAGCTACCAGAGCTCCTTCCATAAAGATACTGCCTTGGAAACCCAAGGAGGGGTTGCTATGAATCGCAATTGACCCAACGGCAGTGAGTTTGATATTTTTTTATTATTATTGTTATGTGTAATATCCTAAAGGACAAAATGTTGACAGTATAAAGATGAACTTAGTCTTCTTGGTGAAGGAACATACAGTCAAGCTAGAGTAACATGACACATAGATATGAGAAATATTCCCTACAATACCTTGGCAAATTGTATAACTATATTATTACCTATTGAAATTTGTTGTTAGGACTTCAATTGTCATATTCAGTCATTTCGCTAGGGCTTCCCCAGCCTTCCATTCACCCCAATCTATTCTTTTTTTATATATACAATTTGTTCTACTTTTGTTGTTGCTGTTGAGAATATACCAGCCAAACAGAACATACACCAATTCAACAATTTCTACATGTACAATTCAATGGCATTGGTTATATTCTTTGAGGTGTGCAACCATTCTCATCTTCCTTTTTCAAATTGTTTCTCCCTCATTAACATAAACTCACTGCCCTCTAATTTGCTGTCTAATCTTTCTAGTTGGAGGTGTTAATTTGATCCCATAAAGACAGATTTTTTAAAGCACAATGCTCAAGGCAGACATTTTTGACTAGCTAAGTTAAACTACTATTTGGTTTTAAGTAAACTTCAGGGGATACTTTTGGTGAAAGGTTTAAAGATTATATCAGGTATCAAGGCAGTAGTTTTAGAATTTTATCCATCTTCAATGGCTTCAGAAAGTCTAGATTCCATAAGAATTTAAAATTCTGTTCTAAATTTCCTCCCTTATGAAAGATCCTCTTTTATAGGATCTTTTATCAAAATCTTATTTTTGATCAAAATACTGATGCTGGTTTCTACCCATGGAGCTGGTCAGATATTTTTCTTAATTTCTCCCCATCGAAGCTATTAGAACTAAGGTCAGGTATCACAGCCTTTATATTTCTCTGTAAATGTTACTGAAAATTTCATGACGAATAGAGGAAACATAATCATGGTGAGGTAGGGGTATGGGAGTAGAGAGAGAATGATGTTAACAAAGTACAGTATCTTAATCCTCTAAATCTAGATTGCTGTCCAAGCTAAGGTTAGGATCCAATATCCTAAATTCAAACTGGTATTTATTCACTCTTTTGTTCAGTTAAGTAACTCAGTGAAAGGTGCTGGGGATAACATCATAATATGGCAAGAATTTCTGACCTAAAGGAACTCACAGTAGCTATTCCATTAAGGTTGACCTTGGCACAGAGGATCCAGGACATTCCCACAAGGGATAGATTACTACGTTCAAGAATATGAAGCTTATTATGTAGCAGAAGAATCAGACAACAAACAAAGGAACCCCAAAGAAATTCATAATAAGAATTGCAAATAATTAAAAACTAATTGCCAACGAAACTCTTCTGACTCATGGCCACCCATGTGTGTCAGAATAGAACTGTGTTCCATAAGGTTTTAGTAACTGAGGTTTCAGAAGCAGATCACCTGGCCTTCCTTCCAAGGCTCTTCTGCATAGACTTGAAACTCCAACCTTTCAATAACCAGGTGAGCACTTAATCATCTGCACCACTTAGGGACTCTGTAAATAATTATACCAAAAAAACAAATCTACTGCTGTCGAGTCGGTTGTAACTCATAGCGACCCCTCTTTGGTGTTCATAAAACAGAATTAGCTGCTTCAGTGGAAGTGCTTAACAACAACCTGTAGGAATAGCTGTCAAGAATACTAAAGAAAAGCTCCCTCCAGGGTTCATAAGGTTGAACAAGATCCTTTACAACTGCTAAGATCCTTTACAACTCCCATATTCCAAGATTCTGAAAAGACACTTCCTTAATGTACTAATTTCCTTTCATACACACACACACACATATATATCTTTTAGTAGAATACTTAAAATAGTGTCCAGTATATATTAAATATTCAACAAATATCATCATTGTTGCCATTATTTCCCCCAAAGATATTGTAAACTGAAGGATTCTGTCATAAACATCTTTAGATCTGCATAATAACTAACAAATCCAGTAACTTTCATATACCAGATACAACAGAAAGTTTCTTCTCTAATAAAATATGTTTTTCTTAACATAGAATTTGCTGTCATTTTAGATATAGCTATAAACTTTTAGGAGCTCTGGTGGCATAGTGCCTAAGGCAAATATTTTTAAAAAATAAATAAACTTCCATAGCACAGATAGAAAAACCTAGACTGTTGCTTCAATATATATAAAGAATAATATTTATTATATATGAAGTTAAATTAAACTGCAGAGGGAATGTTATTCCATTCAACTATGACTTTTCAATAAAAACATATCACATTTTACATAGCTTAAAAGATATGCTCATAAACAACTGGTATTATTACTACATATTTAAAAGAGCTATATCATCTGGTCAAGACATAAAAAAATATGCATTTCAAGATAAATGGATGAAGTGAAGGAGCAAGCTACTGGTGTATCTATGCAAAAAGCATTCCAAGAGAAAGAATTTTAAGTGCAAAGGCTCTGAGGCAGGAGTCTGCTCACAGGAGCATTGGAGAGGCCAGCATGGCTAAAATAGACTGAACAGTTTTGTGCTGCATTATAACAAAATTTAAAAAGCCCTAGTGGTGCAATGATTAAGCACTTTGCGGCTAACCGAAACAAAGGTCAGTGGTTCAAACCCAGAAGCCACTCTACAGAATGAAGGTATGGCAGTCTGCTTCCATAAAGATTACAGCCTTGGAAACCCTATGGCGCAGGTCTACTCTGTTATATAAGGTTGCTATGAGTCACAATCAACTCAATGACAACATGTTTGGCTTTTTCATTTTGTTTTGTTTTTTAGTAATAAGATTTTAAATCATCCATGAAGGTATTACAAGAAAATCTGGAAACAAGGCACATTTAAGGATATCCGGGCAAATCTGTCTGCCAAAAGATAGTGTGAACTGATCAAAATTCACTGGGGAAAATATGAACAGTATTCTCAGCAGAACACCAATTGTAACCCCAAGCTCAAATGGTCAGGGGCTGAGATGTTGATGGAGAAAACAAACTCAATTAGCACTTATCCAGAAGCCTCATAGGAAGGACTGGCCTTATTCTTCATTCACAGCTTACACTGAGCTACATCTCCTTCTTGGATGTTATATTAAGGAAAGCAGGGAATGTTGCAAGCTGGCTCAGAGAGAATAAGCATTCTTTCTGTCCCAGCAGCCTACAGCTACAGCTCCTTCCCCACTCCTGGTAGACAACAAAATCTCTTTTCTTTTCTCTTTTTCTCCAGGTCTGAATTATCTCAACAGGAACCTATGAACTCTGAAATAGACCCATCTGAACCTCTCCATATTGGGCAAATAAAGAATTCCCCTCTCTAAAGATAAAGTAATAGAGAAAAGTCATGTACAGCAGGTTCAAAAGAAAGGGACAAATCAGAGGAACAAGATGCAATTCCTCTCATGAAAGGGAGGTAATTCAAGACTATCTTTAGTTTACAGTCTCAGTAAGATTCAAGGTAACATTATATCCATTCATTCATTAAAAAAATATTGTTGGGTGATAAGTGCTGGGGAAACAAGTGTGAACTACTCATACATGGTCCTGGCCCTCATTCTAGTGAGGAGGGCAGAAAATAAAAAAGTAAATAAACCAAGAAAATATAAGATAAAATGCAGATAAAAAGGGTGCTATTGATAAAGACTAATGGGAGATCTTCTTGAGATACTGTGGGCAGAGAAGGCCCCATGAAGAGGTTAAGATATTTTTCATAATTTCTCCCCATCAAAGCTATTAGAACTAAAGTCAGAAATCACAGCCTTTATATTTCTCTGTAAATGTTACTGAAAATTTCATGGCAATAGTAATTATAATAATAATGAAAATAATATCAGCAG